GCCAGTAATGGCATTCATACAGCTGCAGTAACTAGGCCATAGAATAAATCAACTGCCCTGGTGATATAGAACACATCAGGAATACGGCAATAATTATCTAATATTTATAGTGATCTGTTTAGTGAATCAAAATATACCTTTTAAAATTGTAAATAAGCCAATTTGACGATATTAGGGTCCGATTCATATAGATTTAAACCAGTATTGTTAATAAGCCTATTATCTGATTAAGGCGACGATATTTTGATCCAATTTGATTAATACCAGTAATAACATTACGAATAGGCGTGGAACGCGGAAGTAAATAATTATTATATAAGTTTTATATAAATTACACTGATGAACTGATCACGTTTACTAGAATTCAAAATAACATCAATAAAATAAGTGCTCAAATTTTCCAAAAGAATTATAACAAGTTCAGTTGGTCCAAATTCTGTCCAGAATATGTTGGGGGAAAATAACAACTATCATTAACAACTCGCTATGTGATCTTGTATCTCTATTGAAAGCATAACGATTAAGTATCATTATAAGGAGAGAGATAAGTAAAACCATGTTACGTAATATACTTTTTTATACACGTCGTCAGTGAGCTGGAAGACTGTCCGAAATTAAGAATAATACACCACCACCTCTTTTCGTGCATCGATTGCTTCGGTGAATTTATAAGCCAGAAATATTCCGTCATCTCCTAACACCGAGTCATTATACCAAGTCTCTGGCAGCGCGAATGCATTGTGGGTGCCGAATGCTTCAAGACCTGCCATATCTGTATGCCGATCTGTGTGTTGATTTTGTTTTATTTCTCAAATTTTAATAATATAAAACTGTTGGAGCCCACATCTCTACTCAATATGATGATATCTTGGTTCAGAAAACTTTCATACATGTATCAGGGGGGAAATCTTCTCTCTCGGGGTCTCCACACTTGTTAGGGGGGGATCTCGTCTCGTCTCTCTCTCTCGTCCCCTTGAGGTACGGGATCGGGAAAGTCACTTAAGCTTACAGTCAAATAAGACACACACAACGAAATACGTTTCAACTCTCGTCTTAGTCGGTCAATCGAGCACTCTATAAGACACAACGCCCTGGGGAAAAGTCCCCAAGACTCTCGCAAGGCTGACCCAAGACTAGCCCAAGACTGGACTGCCTCAATGCTCTCTAGGACTGCACTCGACTCCGTCTATCCTAGAGCACTTGCCAAGACTGACTCAAACTCTCTTTATTCATTTTCACAACTCTAACCAATTACAAAGCAGTAAAAAGACTCTAGGGCGTAACCTTCAATCATAAAGCCAATCACACTAAGCACTGAATACGTCATATCTTTT